ACGGTAGAAGAAAAAATATAAGAAATCTGCAAGTCTGCTTTTACCGGTTCTCACGGTCTCTTCGCTTGCAGATTTCTTATATTTTTTCTTCTACCCTGAAGATGGAGGCGATACGTTCCTCCGAAACGTCGATTAACACCACATATACACGGTGCCAAATCCCAGAAAACTGCTTTCTTCATAGGCACCGCCGTGAAAGCCTCAAATCTTACAATTCTCATATTTGTTGTCGTTTTTTAATTCCGTTCTTTTACATGTAGACATTCTGTACAACACAATACAGAAATTGTCAGGAAATGCTCTAAATATTTGTACTGCAATTCAGCACTTCGAAACTGCAATAAACGTCATCAGAAACAATTTGCCTGAACTAGAACGAAATTCAGAACGTTCAACGAAACGTGCGCGGAAAGATGTGAACACAGGCGCCGAAGCTGAAGAGGCGTGTGACGCAACAGTGAACCAGATGAAATATCGTTTCGAAGAAGCGCATCACACAAAATGTTTTTCATTAATTGAACCGCAATTATTTGCAGCACATTTTTCTTTCTGTGCCGCTACAGCCCCAATTTTGGGCCTAGGCCTACCTCCATGAAACTCTCCGTTTCACTTCGGTTTACTAGATCTTACACATTCGGTAGGACTCCTTGGGCGAGTCATCAGCTCGTCGCAAGGCCTCTACCTGTGCACAAACACAGAAAAACGCACACAAACAGCCATGCCCTGAGTGGGACTCGAACCCACGATCCCGGCTTCCGAGCGAGCGAAGACAGTGCATGCCTTAGACCGCTCGACTACCGTGACCGGCTATTTGCAGCACATAAAGTTGCCTTTCCTAGAGAGCTGGTGATCAGTGCTGTAATATACAGGGTGATTCATATAGAACCGGCCTTACGAAATGAGCTGTAATATAAAATACACCATACAGATATTAAAGTAATTAACACATATCTTATCTTGGATTGTGTGCCGTGATCAGATCAGGTGGTGAAAGTGTCCGCCGTTTTCAAATAGGCACGTCTCCACCAGCGTTTGCATATTCGCCGTGACTCGCTGCAGTGTTTCTTCAGTGGTGTTCCTGATTTCAGCCGAAATGTTGTCCTTTAAATATTGTAACGTACGCGGTTTGTTTGCATACACCCTGTCCTTCAGTAAATCCCAGAGAAAAAAATCCGGGCGAACTTAGTGTCCTTTATAAGCGTGACACATTTGCAAACGTAAAGACTGTTCTTCCTCTATGGACATTAATAAGAGACAACAATCTGGAACGCTCTGTCAGAAATACTCAGACTGACAGATATTGTACTTACAACTCCAACATCAACCGCCGAATCCGAGCGTTGTTTCAGCACTCTAAAAAGAGTTAAGACATATATAAGGAACTCAATGGGTCAAGAACGTCTGAAGGCACTGGCTGTACTTAGCATTCATAAGGACATGATTGCAGAGATTCCGGCATTCAGCCAAAAAGTGATTATTTACTTCCCAGAAGAATAGACGAGCGTAGTTTCTGTATAAACGAGGTAACTTTTAAAGCATTATTTTAATTAATGGCATGAATTGCAATGGAGCATACTTAAATTTTCTAATACTGCTAAGTGCAAAATATTTTCACATGTTTTAAAGTACTACTACCACTTTGTACTACAACTCGCATCACTACTACCTATTATTATTATTATTATTATTATTATTATTNAGCGTTACATAGCAACACAGCGCCAGGCAAAGAGGGTGCCTATTACGCGGCCGTTTTCCGTATGGTCCGATCGAGGCTACATGAGGCGCAGCGAAGGCTATTCACAGTCAGTTGTACTGAGACAGTCAGCGAGTCCTGGAGCTACCGCCGAGTTAGCCAGCAACTAGTCAGTTGTATTGTGGCATTTTTCAGTGTACTAATTGTGATACTGCAGATAGCAGTAATCGTCAGATTGTAATTTGGGTGATTGTAAGAGCGAGTGTGAAATAAAATTCGCTACATCAAATACATCGTGAAGTTATTTGTCGCGATATACCCCGCGATACGCGACATTATTATTATTATATAACAACGTAAGAATATATCACTGTCTCATATTAGCCCCACCATCTATTTGAGCCACGAGCCGCCACTGCAGACCGCCATATAAAAAAGCGAAAATACGTATATGTTTGAGTGCACGTGCCCCAAGTGAACCTGATACTACCGTGCTTATCAAGGAAGCGACCATTACCGATCATTACATAAGACCCATGAGTACCTATCTATGGCTCTAGAGCTCTCTGTGGGCCTTGTCTGCTTTTTCAGTTTCTTGATCCTACACACAAACAATAGGATTCCGCGGACGGAGAGTCAGCCCGTCACAAGGCCGCTACTTACACACAGAACAACACAAACACAAAATAAACGCAGACAAATAACAATGCCACGAGTGGGATTAGAACCCACGACCCCAGTGTTAGACCGCGCGATCACTGTAATGGACGGAACCGGATTTTTTTCAGTTGGCCTAATCCTTCCAGCCGCACTAGGCCCTGAGGTCTACTCAGCCTCTAACAGAAATGAGTACCAGGAATTAATTAAATAATTTTCCTGGGAAGTAAAGCGCGGCCGGCGCGTAAGGCTGACAACCTTACCGCCATCTTTGATCCGATTGTCTAGATAGTGTGGGACCCTCAACGTTCACAACCCTATGGGGCTCCACGGCCTGTTACAAGGATAGCTTTACTTTACTTTTTTTAACTAGTTCGAGTTAACTTATTTTAATTTAATTGAAATCAAAGTAGCTATATAAAAAACAAATTTTAAGGCTAATGCATAATTGAAATATTCTTACTTTGCGAATAACATATACCCTTCGGAAAATAAGGACAATAGTTTATACAATTTACAGTATTTGTTTATGGCTACGGGCTGGACGACCGCGGGATCAGAGTTCGAGTCCCATAGGATCAAAAGTTTTCTATATTCTTCGTTGTCCAGACCTGCTCTAAGGCCCACCCAATCTCCTATCCAATGAGTACCGAGGGTAAAGCGGCCAGTGCGTGAAGCTGACCACTCACGTCCCAATAGTGTCGAAATTAAAATTTGGATCTATACACCCACTTCCCCATACGCATTCATGGCGTAGTGCTTAGTTAGTTAAGGGCAGGAACAACTTTACCTTTGCTTTTACGCTATATCTTTAAGTCTGTAACTAAAAACCAGCGCTGTAAACAACAATACGACCTTCTCCAATACTAAACATTAGCCAGTAGAGGAGGAAGAGCATAGGCAGAGTCGAGAATGACTGTATAGGCACCGTTAGATGATGGCCAGAAATAGTGGCCGAAGCATGTCTTCAAGTAGAAATCGTATAATTGTCTTGGAAGAATTAAGTATATGCATGACCGCATCTTTTGTCTAGTGGTCAGAGTTCCTGGCTACACATCCAGAGGTCCCGGGTTTGATTTCCGGAACTACCAGATTTTCTGAGAAGTAGTGGGTCTGGAACGGGGTCCACTCAGCCTCGTGAGGATAACTGAGGAGCTATTTCAAGGAAATATCGGCTCCGGTCTAGAAAACAGAGATTAACGGCCGTGGGGATCCGTTGCGCTGACCACGTGACACCCTATATCCACAAAAGTTGGCACTAACTTCGCCGACAAGCGGCGGTCGCTCGGTCGGTATAGTTCGTTTGCGGATTACAGGCCACGGAGTGTTTTTTAAATATATACGCATATTGTGAGTTTGAAACTGAATGAAATATTCGATGGGATATTTCGTCGGCGGTTATTCTTGGGTGACTTTGGAGCTGGGTCCTATTATTTCCATTTATGACCGTAAATGTTCCATTCCCAGATCATAAATTGTTATGCTAAAAAGTTGTAGCATGCCTCTCGAAGGAATAAGACTATATAAATAAACGTATGAAAAAAAATGAAAATCAAAAGCATTAGACCCTTTAAGCCACAATGATTTTTGTATGTACTACGAGCTTAAACATGAAATCAACTTTGTATTTTGCCCATATATTATGTCTACGTTTGTATTATGCTCACGGAGTTGGTATAGCGACGGGCTAGAGGCTGGAAGGTCGGGGTTCTATTGCCGGCAATGGCAAGAGAATTTTCTAATACCACAACGCACAGACCCACCCTGTGGTCCACCCAGCCTCCTGTCCAATGGGTACTGGTGTATCGTTCTCTTGGGATAAAGTGGCCGGGGCGTCGAACTGACCATTCACCTCTATCTAGTGCCAAGGTCGAGACTCCCCGACATGTGTTTGTGGCGTGGTGCTTAATTAATTAATTAAGGGTAGGTACTACTTTATTTTTAACGTAAAATTTAATAAGCAGTGACTTTTTGCAAAACAGGATTAACCGATTGTTTTCTTTACTGGTTAATAATGACGTATCATGCCTTAATTTTCAGATATTAATTGCTTGTTAACCTTAGGGAACGGCCACAAATTAATGAACAACTTTTTTTTTTCCTTGGCACTACAGCCCCAGTGGGCCTAGGCCTACCTCCATGAACTCCGTTCACTTCGGGTTTTCTCGATCTTACACATACGGTAGGACACCTTGGGCGAGTGATCAGCTCATCGCAAGGCCTCTACCTATAGACAAACACAGAAAAACGCAAACAAACATCCATGCTCTGAGTGGGATTCGAACTCACGACCCCGGCTTCCGAGCGAGCGAAGACAGTGCATGCCTTAGACCGCTCGGCTACCGTGACCGGCAATGAACAACTTTGATTCAATTAAATATTGATATTAATCTGTGTTAATTCCGACGGTAATTAAAATACAAATATTGCCATTAAATTATGTAGATAAACCATTCATGAGTAGGTTGTATTAAAATTATATCAAAACTGAATGATCTCTCTAGATCATCAGTTAATTTAGGTCATGAGGAAGTCACCATTCATTTATTCGAACTTAGGTTCCAGTAAGCTTTCTAGTGCCGTCCAGTAGAGTGGCCTTCTGATCTGGTGGAATTTTGTTATTGCGTGTTGGCAGTACAGCCCGCATTCCATAGCTGTGTGCTACACGCACTCGGGACCACGTCCGTATGTAAAGCTTGAAATAAACTCCTGGAACAATCTTCAGAGACTATGCAAGTGTAACTTATTCAAGAATAGATATATTTGACCACAGTTTCGCCGTACCTCGATGAGATAGTAAAGCGTAAATATTAAACTTCGATTTTTAGTGTGACAGCAATGGTCATATGAATTGCCTAAACATCAGTGAGAGAAAGAGAAGACAAAAATTTGTATGTTCTGTGCTATGGATCGGAATAAACTGATAACAGTAATAACTTATGTGAAAGAGTGATTCACGGAAATCAGGAATGTGGTGTGGCAAGCAGTGCTCGGGGATATCTTAGAGATCTGTGACTCATCACCTCAGCTTACAGCTCCGTGAAGACTAACTTCCTAAGGTAAGGACATCTCTTTACACTGTATACGATCTAAAGCATTGCTTTTAAATTCTGCGTTAGAATACGCCATTACAAAGGGAGCCGGGACAGCGTAATCGGCATAGCTACTGCCTACGTGCTGAATGACCAAGGGGGTTGGAGTTCGAATCCCGCTGGGGGTAAGAATTTTCACTTCTTCATCGTCCAGACCTGCTCTGGGGTTCAGCCAGCCTTCTATCCAATGGGTACCGGGGCTCTTTCTTCTGGGGTAAGGCGGACGGAACGTGAAACTGACCACTCACCTCCAACTAGTGCCGTGATCAAGAAAGCTTGAGTCTATACAGCCACTCCCCCATATGCCTTCATGGCGTAATGCGTAATGAGTTGAGCACAGGGACAACGTTACCTATATGCCATTAGGAAGGTCTAGGAAAATCAGGTGGTGATTGAAATTAAATGGGACACTTCAGCTGTTGGCCTATGCTGTTGATATGAATCTATTGGGTGATAACATAGATACCACAGAAGGAAACACAGACACTTTAGTTGATGCTAGTAACGAGATTGGTCTAGATTCTCTGTGTTTATGTCTAGACTCTAGAAGTAAGCACAGAAAACTAAGTACATGTTGCTGTCTTGTCACCAGAATGCAGGGCAGAATCATGACATATAGACAGTTAACAAGTGTTTTGAAAATGTGGCACAGTTCAAATACTTGGGAATAACAGTAACAAATCAAAATATGATTCAGAGGGAAATTAAGAGGAGATGAAATTCGGGCAGTGCTTGCTACCTTTCAATCCAGAACCTTTTGTCTTCTTGCCTGCTGTCTAAAAACGTAAAAATTAGAATATACAATACTATAGTTTTGCCTGTGGTTCTGTATGGGTGTTAAACATAGACTGAGGGTGTTTGAGAACAGGGTGTTGAGAATATTTGGACCGAAGAGAGATGAAGTGACTGGAGGTTGGAGAAAACTGCATAATGAGGAGATTCATAACTTGTACTCTTCTCCAAGTATAATCAGAATGATTAAGTCAAGGAGGATGAGATATGCAGGGCATGCAACACGAATGGCGGAGAGGAGGAATGCCTATAGGACATCAGTGGGAAAGCCAGAAGGAACCACTAGGAAGACAAAGACGTAGATGGGTAGAGAATATTAAAATGGATCTTACAGATAGAGGATGGGGTAGTATGAATTGTATTGATCTGGATCAGGATAGGAAACAGTGAAGGGCTCTTGTGAACACTGTAATGAAACTTCGGGTTCCATAAAATGCTGGGAAGTTCTTGAGTAGCTGAGCGATTGGCGGCTTCTCAAGAAGGGCTCAGCTCCATGAAGTTAGTTAAGTATTAGATGAATTCGAATCGTACGAGCCTGTAAAGAAAACTATTAATTAAATAATATCGACAAGTTGAACGAATTTCCTTTACTGATTGGCTGCTCCGACATTCAGAACTGGAAATAAATATCACTTTATAATCTAGAAGCTGACATAGCTCAGTCGGTAGGGCAGTTGGGTACTGTCTGGACGGCCAAGGAATCCATTTCCAATTCATGTCAGGAGCAAGTGATCTGCGTTCTTTGCACAACGTCCAGACATATTCTGGTGCTCACCCAGCCTACCCTGCTTACAAAGTTTCCACCGGGGGGGGGTCTGAAGCGGGAAGCGGTAGGATGACGAGTTTATCTCCACCCAGTACCGAGGTTAAGACTGGTGGAGCTATACGCCCACTCCCTCATATGCATTCACGGCGTGGTGCTTAATTAATTAACCACATGGACAGCTTCGACATTTACCTTGACTAGGAACTATTTTACTTTTAACTACCGTCACATTGCTGTGCTTTAATTGTATGTATAATTTTCGAAACCATTTCATTAACAATTCATCTATAATTATGTTTTAATTTGTTAGGCACGCGGTAGCATAGTTGGTTGAGGCACTGTGCTACAAGCCGGAAGGTCGCAATTTCGAGTCACGATGAGGTGGATTTTTTCGATTTACCTAATCCTTCCAGCCACACTATGGCCCTGGGTTTGACTCAGCCTGACAGAAATGAGTATTAGGAATCTTCCTGGGGGTAAAAGGCGGACGGCGCGTAAGGCTGACAACCTCAACGCCATTTGTGAGTCGATTGTCTGGAAAACGTGGGAGCCTCGACGTCTCACAACAATATGGTCCTCCACGGACTGTTACAACGATATCTTTACCTTTTTCTCGAATACATCTATCTATGGCTGTACAGCCCTCTGTTGGACCTTGGCCGCTTTTCGATTTCTTGAACTTTTTACACAGTCGGTAGGACTCCTTGGAGGGGGATCAGCCAGTTGCAAGGCCCCTGCCTGCAAACACAGGACAGCACAAACACAGAATAAACGCACGCAGACATCCATGCCTCGAGTGGGTTTCGAACCCATGATCCCAGTATTTGAGCGGGCGAAGACAGTTCATGTCTTAGACCGCACTGCGTCTGAATAAATATTTATGCGTTCTTTTCTTGGAGTGAGGACAAGAAATGTCAGTGGTTATCTTGGCTGTCCGTCCTACGAAGTAATCAACAAACTCCATGGAGCATGGAACACATCGCTTCTTGAGATGTAACTACATTTGTCTGCCTGCCGAAACTATTGAATATTTCTCCGTTAGCTTTAGTAGTAGTATCAGGGCGAGTTTAATTTCGATTCATATCAATCCAGTATTTCGTATGAACCTCTCGAATACAAGTCTAGATCAGTAATTCTCAACCAGTGTGCCGCAAGCTCTTGCCAAGCGCGCCGCATGTTTTTGAGGATGAGGAAGATTATATACAGTAAAACATGCATTTGTGTAAACTTTCCAAAACGATATTTCAAACAAAACTTCTATATCAGTTTCACTATAATTTTATATTTTTGCCTCAAGCTTGTAGCGTACGTTACCGCGTGCCCTCCTTGAAAGAGAAACTCTCACAAGAATTCCCGTGTTACTTTTGTGGAGAGTCTGGAGACTCCAATGCTCGCGCAGAACACGAACCCACGTACAAAATATGCCATCCTATTGTAATCATTAGAAAATAAATGTAAATGCAAATAGCATTGTAATTTTGCAGAGGAGAGTGGAGTAGGATGTCAAAACCTTGAAGACACACTGTCTATGTTCACATCATCTATCATTAAGACCATAATTATCGTAATATTATTAACGATTACATAAAATTACAGCACAAAACCTTGACAGCGTGGGAACGAATCAGAGGGAATTATACCCATGCTCTTAAATAATATTATGGCATAAGTTCATATATTTAGCTATGATTAATCTATATTATGTATCATAGAACGTGGGAAATATTGTAACGACATTGGGCATTGTTCGCATTCAAAATAAGCTTAAAAAGAAGATATTTACTATGCTAAAACATTCAGTGATGTAAATGTTGCCAAACTGTATTAATGTTTGACAATATTATAGTGTTACTGTTACAGTACTGTCAGGTGTTAGTAATTGCGCATGGAGTTTGGACTGATAATTAGATATATTGAAGACTTATGACTCTTAACTAGACATAATTATAACACCTCACTAATGTACACACTCTTACAAATCACTAGAGCACACTTTAATTCTTCTCAGTCTTTTACGTCTTCATTCGTCGTTGCTAGGTATCATCTCCTAACAGTGTAGATTACTTTGCTTTCGTTCTCTCGGCTGACTACAGTTTACGAGAGCTGAATCTCGACTCATGACTGGGTGATTGTCTGGTTCGTGTGATGCTGATGGCCCTCGCCAGCACATTCATTGTTAGTTGCAGGTCCCGTGGGGCTCATGGCGATATTTTTCGGTCGCACGACTCTGGGAGTCGTGCAACTACTCCGTACTGAAGCTAACCGTCTAAATTCACGTTCGGGCATATTGCAGCTGGCACTCGCCAGCACAGTTATTCTTGGTGCCTGGTCCCGCGCGACTCATAATCATGTTTCTTTCCGTCAATCAGTTGGGTAAATTTCCGCTGGCTTTCGGCAGCACAGTCATATGGTATTATATCGTAACATCACCTAGTATCAAATGCTGCTGATTCCCGTCTCGCGTGCAACACGTCTTTCTATAAAACATATTAAGAGTTATTCACGTTAAAAGTTCTACACATCATATAACTTTTAAACTTTTAAAGTTTTCACTAGATGTTTCGATCAGTATGGTCACCGTCAAGTGTTTAAGATTATAGTTGAGGAAACTGCTGTGTTTCTGTTATCGTGGCTTCTGTTATTAATATATGGTCTCCTCTATGCGCATGCTTGTTCGAATTGGCGGGTTGTTTTTCCTGTTGTGTTATGTTGTGTGTCTTTTTTACGAATGCGTGACCATATTAGTCGAAACATGTAGTGAAAAACTTTTTAGAAAGTTAAAAGTTTAAAGACATGTAAAACTTTTAAAGTGAATAACTTTTAGTGAGGTAAACGATACACGTGTTGCACGTTAGACGGTGGAACCCAGGCAACATTTGATTCTTAGCGTATATGAAACCGAAAGAAGTAGGATAGAAATAAGGATAATAATGAATATATGTTTAAAAAAATATATGAGATCAATATATTTTTTAATCGGGGACACGCGGTAGCATAGTTGGTTGAGGCACTATGCTACAAACCGGAAGGTCGCGGGTTCAGGTCATTGGATTTTTCAATTGACCTAATCCTTCCAGCAGCGCTATGGCCTTGGGATCGACTCAGCCTGTAACAGAAATGAGTACCAGGAATCTTCCTGGGGGTAAAGGGCGGATGGAGTGCAAGGCAGACAACATCACCGCAATCTGTTGAGCAGATTTTCTAGAAAATGTGGGAGCCTCGACGTCTCAAAACCCTATGGGCCTCCACAGCCTGTTACAGGGATAGCTTTACCTTTAGCTTTCCTGCCAGTGATTGCATTTATAAATAAAAACGTATATTTTCGACAGTACACTGCTGTGTGTTGTTTAAACAGAAATGCAGGACGGACATTCGAGTTGACGTCTGCAATCTGCTAGGAAGTGCATGG